CTCCAACAGTGTTCTCAAGCAGGTTATAGAAGCTTGGTATAAAAACTGAGATGTTGAATCTTAAAAATCTTGATATACTAAAGTAAAATATCTCATATTCAGAAGGTTTACATGTAATTAAAGGTTTTGCATTGGAAAAGAAAGCAAAATAACAGAAAAGAGGTATACTGGTTGATTTAAAATTGCACAAAATCTGCCAGCACGATCCCTTTCAAACAGTCTTATATACGATTTATATCCAGGTTTCCCTTAGGAGAAGAAACATATAATGCATTTCATACCTGAAGCCTCCTATTTATTTCTTAGAGACATAAGCTAATGAGGCAATAATGCTTTTTTTACTTCAAATCTTTAAAAAAAAAAAAAAAGCTTTCCTGAAACCTAGATTCTGAAGTCTGCTCTAATGATCTGGATTTTATACTCAAATTTCCCTATGGTATATGTATTCACATTGCAGAGTTCTGCACATTGTTTATACACATGGAGGAAGAAACTGAATATATGACCTGGGAAAATAAATTAAGAGAATAGAACATTTTTTCAGATTATTTTATATTCTTTCAAAATTCTAAATTTCATTGCTAAAGAATGTAAAGATATTTATATTTCTTCAAAATTTACATTCTAGATTATATAATGTCCTAATTCAACTTAGAAAATGGCTCCATATGCATATTATAAAAGCACTTAAAACAGACTAACTTTTGAATTAAAATTTATGCAAGGGAAAATGTAATTTTAACTGGAGCTAGCCTTCACATTAAATGTAAAAACTCCAATAGAATACATTCAATCATAATAAGAATTTAATTTTAATTCACATATATTAGTAAAATTGTTCAAACTACTACCTAAGGCTAATATTTTAATAAAACCAGAAACCTCTAATTCAAAAGTAAAAGTTCTTACATAAGACAACTGATTTTGTATTTTAAATTACTGAATTAGAGTGCCCTCTATTGGAAGAAAAAAGGCAATGGAAGCTAAACGGAACTAAGAATAGTTAAAATACTCCCAAAATTCAAGGCACATCATTAATATGGAAAATATATTTATTAATAACATAAATCTACAAAACATATTTTCCTTACATTTTGATTTCTTCTAAATTACTTTTGGAATTATTTGTCATATTATGATGAACAAGTTGGGTATTTTAACCAAACCCAAATGCCCATCCTTCAGCCAATAATGTGAATAAGCAAAAATATTACTCCACATTTAATATTCCAATGTAATATAGAAATAATTTTAATTTAGGACTACACTGGGAATTTTCTTTGATGATAAACTGAAAATGTCTCTAACTCAAAGAGATTTTTTTAGACACTCTTACGGATACTCGAAGACCTATGATGGGATTTATTCTAGCTCTAAAATTGTGTAATTTTGTGGTGTTATCAAGACTTCAGTTCTGACTCAGCATCTCAGGTCTACATTACCTCAGTAAGGCCCTGGCAGATTCTTAGTCCTCTAGACGAACCGTGTGCATATTAGCTTTCTAAAAGACTGAGGCTCAGGGCCACCCAAAACGATTCTGATTAGTTGGTCTAGTTGGTCAGGACATGGTACCTGCAGGTATCAGTATTTTTTGAAGCCTCTCCAAATATGTCTAACATATTACCATTGCTAAGAATCACGAAATCTCTTCCAGAACATCTGACTACAGTTACCATTTTTATCTTCCCAAAATGTCACCTTCAAGACAGAACTCCCCTCCTCAAGAGTTTATTCTCCTCACCATCAACATTAAACTTCTGACTAGGTTCCCAAATCTAATTATCTGCCCTTAACAAAAGAGCTGAATGGTAATGGATATGGCACCAGCCCGACTGCCTGTGTTCAGATCCTGGCTCTGGCAATTACCACATAAACGTGCGAAAATCATAAAAGTTCTCTGTGCCTCCATTTTCTCATCTGTAAAACGGGAGGAATAATACCACCTATCTCAGGGTTATTGTGAAGATTAAATCAGTTAATATAAACAAAGTGCTCCGTAAGTGTTAAGTATTATCGTTACTTACCCAAATTTGTTTCCCACTACTCTCCAAGATCAACTCTCATGATAAACCATTATTCTCAAATTATATGCTATGTCTCACCTCTGTGCTTTTGCATATACTGTTTCTGCAAGCTGGAATCCTCTCCCATTCACTCATTCATTCATTTATTCATTCATCCATTTATTCTAAAACAAATACAAGGGACATCTCCTTCTCCCCTCATGGCCCAGTTTAGTCTCTCCCTACCTCCATGAAGCCTTCAATGAATACCAATAAGTCTTCACTAATCTCTCCCTTTTTAAAAATTCCTTTGGCTACCAGGTAATTTATTATGAGAAATGTAGCTGGGAATTAAAGACGCTGGCTCTGAGTTTGAATCCTAGATCTGCCACTTGCCAGCTGAGTCATTTCCCAAGTCTATAAATCCACTCTTAGGATTACTATGAGGATTAAGTGGCTTAAATCATATAAAGCATTAGAATAGCAAGCAACTAATAAATGTCAGCTCTTATATATCTGTTGTTTTATATGTTAGTCTTGTCTGTACACTGTGACTAAAGCCTTCTTCTAAGAAGAATTTTGAACTCTTTCAAGTCAGGAACCATGTTTCATTACTGCTATTATAAATCCTGTAATTTACAATGTGGTAACAAACATCTATATTAGGTGATCTATAAGTACTTGATTAAATTTTTGCATCATTTGAGAGTATAATTCATAACAAAACTCTGAAGGAACATTTTTGATGAACAGAAATAGTCAACAAAAGCAAACGAACCCAAATAAAACACAGGCTACAGAGAAGGATCAAAGTAATTGGACTACTTTTTAAACATTCAATAACAAGTTTCTATTAGATTAATCTTCTGAAAGGGCACTTCCAATGATGTCTTTTATCTCCTCAAAATCCTTTAGATTTTTCTCATTTTTTAAAAAATAAATACTAAAACTCTTATCCTGACATTCAAAATCATCCATGGCCTGACCTCAACCTATTCTTCTAATTTTATTTCCCCATCTTTCTGCTTTATAAACTCCATTATTCCAGAAAAATTGGACTACCTGCCCTTACTCATATGTAACCTCTGCTTTTCTGCCTCATTGTAACCTTTATTATTTAATATGACAATATTTTCAAGGAACACAATATAAAGTTTGTCACAGGAACAAAGACTGATTTTATGAAAGGATAAGCTTGAATTTTAAGAAATTCAGTTCAATTTATGAGCATTAAATTCTCTCTTGCACAATACAGTCTTTGACTTATAAAGAAACAAACATTTGGCCATCATTCCCCCAAATTATGTCACCCTCATAATATCAAAAACCTCTGCTATCACTACCTGAAATCTATAAGCTTGAGTAAGCATAGTCTCCAAGTAAAGTGTGCAGACCCCACGGTGCACAAGATACCCACTGACTAAAAGGGAAAAAAAAAGATAGAGCTTTTATTTACACTTATTCTTTATCCTTCTTATTTCAATGTCTCTTGTAGTATATACCTAATTTACATCATACATTCTTAGAATAGTAGATATATGTAATTTATAAACACATGCACTTAGGATGTTTGCTTAAAATTTGTTTAATTATGCTACACACAACAAAAAAAGTTTATAAACCACTGGTCTAGAAAATTAGGGCTTTCAGAAAATCTGTGGGCTTAGAAGTAGAGGGCCAGAAACCATCAGTTTAGAGAAATCTTTAGGGACAGACCTAAAAATCTAAACACCATGTATTATTTATGTAGGATAAATATGTTTTCATTTGTAACCAACCGTCAAGGAAATGTTGAATTGTAATTGGCTTGTAATTTGGAGATGACATAAAACTGTTTAAGATTTTTAAACAGGAAATTTTGTCCTGATGTTAGTCATTACAGTAAATATTTCATTAACATAAAAATTTCATTTGGTTAAAACTCATATGTATATATAATTAATCATAATTATTCATAAAGAGCTTTTATTGGGGCCAATAATATGATGCTTTAAAAAAGATATTGCAGCAGAAAAAAAAGAACAAAGACAGCCTAGGGAGTAAGACTAGCCATGGAGCTAGACGAGCAAGCACTATCCTGGGAAACAAGTTGCACATTAAGGAACTAAATGAAGTAAACATTCTCATAATAGTCACTATACTTGGCAATTACTTTTTAGTTTTCATAAATAATATGACATACTTAACACAATCCACTCTTATTAGCTTTTGAAGAAAGCATAATGTTTCTATAACAAATTAAGTTCTAAAAGTGAGTAAAGATTTTATGTTATAATACTGTATTTCCTTTAATACCAGTACACCCTATAAATCCTGCCTCTACCTGACACAAAAGCGATATACAAATCCTAATTTTAAACTGATTAATTCTTTACAGGTTTTGGTTTTTTGTGTTTTTTTGTTTTGTTTTGTTTTGTTTTTTTGCTATTGTGTTAATATAAAAATCTAAATGAGCAAGAATCTCTAACTCATGATTTAGATTCTGAGCTTGTAGGTTGCCTAAGGGATCTGCATAAGACTATAAAAATATGGAGGTCAAACTTTCTACAATGTCTCTCCCCTACCATAACATACAAAGTGACTGGGGAACATACACACACAGCCCAGCTCCATCTTTCTTTAAGATGGGATAGACTCAGTCCATAGAGAAAGAGGGGAAACAAAGACAAAAGGAAGATTTTTTTCTTTCTTTCTTTGGAAACCAGTATCATCATGCCCAGTAAAACTAAAAGAACATAATCAAAGAAATTATGATTTCTTAGGCAAATCAACAGTAGCAAGATCATCACAAACTATAAGTGATTTATCAAAGCATTCCTTCCCCTACACATGCAGTGAGAGTAAAACACCAATGAACATCAGAAAAAGAGCAATAGGGAATCTGACATTTGACACTGGAAGAATCTGAAGATAGAATAATGCACAAATCCCATGCCTCTCAGATACACATTGAGTTGGCAAAGACAGACGCACTGTCTTCCTTCCCCCCTTACTTACTACACTCTGGCTTCCATTTTTCCCAAGTTCTTCCTCTGAAATCTTGCTCAAATTATCTAAGTAGTGGTCTGATATTGTGTGGCACAAATCTTCAAAAGAATAATCCTTTTCTTGACAGAGTTTTATTTCATCCAAGAGTTTTGATAATTCTCCAGTCACAGTTTCACCTGTAGGAGAGTAAAAGACAGTAATTTTTTTCAAAGTTTCAAGAAAGGCTATTGCTAAAACTTCCTATTAACTAATAAAAATATGACTAGTATGGTAATAGAAGTCATACTATGACAAACAAGATTTAGTAAGTCAGAAAATATTCTGTTGAAAGCAAGGTACTAAACTATAATAAGTGCAAGAATATTAAAAGACAAGGAGAAATCCCAATTTTGCCTATTATTACTCTTATTCAAAATAGAAATAAGTATTGAAGGTTTATATATGTGTAGTACATATCTGGAATTACAACTCCTAAGGCTTTATCCATTGTAACATTTAATCTTCAACAATCTCTCACCAGCATTATAGTTCACGGACAGAATTCATTCAACAACTCAACAAATTTTAAATGGTACTGGAAGCCTACTTCCTAGGTTCAATAAAAAGAAATACTAGAATGTATTTTGATAAATAATTACATAAGTAATAAATTAGAATTGTGCTATGTGACATAAGGAAGAGCACTGAAGGAACAGATAAATAATATGCATCATCTGTCAAAATATGAGTATTTTGTAGGCTGCATGGAAATATGCATTTTTCTAATCATTTTCAGAAAGGTACCTTATACCTGTAATTTCTTCTGGGGAAAAAATAAAACTCCAACAGTTATAATCCAGATATCAATATTTTTATTCTGCATTAAAAATACGTTTTAGAAAGGGGCACCTGGATGTCTCAGTCGTCTGACTCTTGATTTCAGCTCAGGTCATGTTCTCAGGGTCCTGGGATGGAGTCCTGTGATGAGCATTAAGCCTCCATGTTGGGCTCTGCACTCTGTGGGGAGTCTGCTTGAGATTCTCTCTCCCTCTGCCCCTCCCCCCCACTCACACATGCTCTCACACTCTCAAATAAGTAAATTAATTAATTTTAGGGGAAAAAATCTACTGTGAAATATCCACTCCATGTAAACTTCATGACAGCAGGGATTGCTAATTTTGCTCACTACAATGGTAGGGCCAAGAGAAGGGTCTGACAAATAGAAGAGCTCAATAAATGCTGACTGAATGGGCACCTAGGTGGCTCAGTCAGTTAAGTGTCCGAATCTTCACTTCAGCTCAGGTCATGGCTTTAGGGTTGTGAGACTGAGCCCCGTGATGACTGTCAAACTCCTGTGTTGGCTCTTCGCTGGGTGTGGAGTGCTTAAGATTCTCTCTTCCTACCCCCACCATCTCCCTCTCTTAAAAGAAAAATGCTGGCTGAATAAACGGATAAAATATACAGTATAAGATACAACTTATTAGACCTGAAATTTTTACAAGTGTTAGCCTTTTTGTACATATAGGACAAATTTGTACATAAATGTCTAGTACTATTTCAAGGGCTTTATAATTAACTACTCACTCTTAGTCTTTTGGGAAGGAGACTCAACAGGAGATGAAATATGTATTTCTTGTGTTGTATCTTCTTGTACACGCTCTTCAGGGACTGCTGATCTTCCCACACCTTCCAAATATTCTGTGTATACAAGTTTTTGAAATTACATAGTCAAATTCATTTACTTTAAAATCAATAACTAAACTTTATGTTTTATTTCTGGTGATCAGTTTTTCATTTATTTCCTCATACCCTAAATATATCCTAAGTTTTTAAAAGAACTTCAAAAAACCAAACTGAAATAACTTCATGATGAACTATTAATTTAAATCTTTTTAATTAAAACATAAAAGATACTTAAGAAGAGACTCATAAATCCTTTTTGTGAAAACTAAACTGGTCACATTCTTTCCTTAAAAATAAATTCACCTGTTAAAGACATAATAACATCCTTAACTTCCTTAAATATATTCTACCTGAGGATTTAAAACCCTCTGAAAGATGCTTTGAATAGACTTGATACCTAAACAGGGATATCAAATTCAACAACCAGTCAGGTAACATAAATGAGTGAAATTTATGTTATAATGGTGTTTACTCTTCTAATATAAGCATAATTGCATGTTAAACTTTATCTCCACAGAGAAATAATGTTCATTCTCATTCTTGAAGTAATGTTCCGCACAGCCTCTCTCTCATTTCTCCAATTTTGATGAAGACATAATAACAGTAATAGCAGCTAAAACTTAAATATGGCTTACTATGCACCCAGCAGTGTTCTAAGTATTTAAAATAAGTTAACTCACTTGATCCTCATAAAACTATGACACAGTCACTATTACAATCTCAGTTTCAAAGATGACAACTCAAAGAGAAGGATTTTAAGTTGACCATATTCATACAGCTAATAAGTGGCACAGCCAGATAGACATGGTACAAGAAAACATCTCACTTTTCTCTTAAGCATAACAAAAATGGCATCTGAATGCAGGGATAAATGTCAATGAATATTCAGCCTCAATATCATGGAGAAAACAGAAAGCATGTGGAGCATGATTAACCGGAGAGTTGGTGCCCCATCTAAAGTTCAACAGTAAAGTAAAATAAAAGCCTGCATTTTTTGAGAAACCAAAACTCTGAAATTTTAGCTGAAATCCTAAGATTTTTAAATGTTGAAAGCTAATTCAATGTTTATGGAAACACAGTACAGACCTAAAATATGTAATCTAAACAAAATAAATCTGCTGTCTGCCAAAAGCATTCAGCTTACAGTGGCTAGTTTGTAGTCTCCATCTAAAGGATTATATCAATTGATCTCTCCCCCATAGGGATCTTTTACTTACATGTCTTTATTCAGAAGGAATCTTTTTCTTAAAATCTAGCTAAGAAAGTCTGTGCTCTCATGCCAACCGTGTCTTCATACCACCCAGTTTCTACCTAAGGGCAATTCTACTAGGCAAAGAAAGCAACCTATGGAAGTCTATTAAAATTTTTGACCCAATACAGTCATTATGTAAAGTGAATTCTTCCTCCAGGACACAAATAGTAATTTTATCTACTCTAAATTGGTTTTAGTGAAATAACCTTTTCATAAAACTTAAAATGTACCACTGACTTATGACCCAGGAATGTAAAGAATACAGATAACACATTCACATTCTAAAATCTGCCAACAGTTTTAAAAATTCAAAGATGTCCCATATACCCTATCACAAGGTGATATACCTAACGAACCTTAACCATTTAATAGAACATAGTTAACTCCTATATAATAACAATTTCATCTCAGTCAAATCAATACAGTAAATGTCTGCAATTATGTCATGCCCTCTTTTTAGTGATGACATTTATTTTGCTTTTCTCAAGAGACATATTATTCACAAGCCTCTGTTTTTTTAAAGTTCAGTTAGAGATAAAATTTCAATATAAAATATAAAGTGCCTATAGGGAGAAGACAAAAATGTTGTATACCACTCTTTTCCTTTTTAGCTTTCATTCAACTTGATTTTAATTTGAATGTGAAGAGCCACTCTTGTATTCTCTGATTTATCGCTATACGCACTTGACTGCAATTAACTTATTTATTAACAAGAAAACTGTAGGGGACTGAACTTCCTGTCCCCTGAGAAGTTTTGAAAATAAAGAGAGAAGAAAGCATGAATGACCTCCTGTAGCTCATCTATTCTTTTTACCCCTCTTTGGCTTTTGTTGACTCCTGTATCTGTGCATCACCTGACCGACTTGGTTTTAATTCATTTATCTCCTGCAGGACAAAGCTGTTCTTCAGCTTCCCAACTAATAACCAAGAAAACCATCCCGCCTCCCTTCCTTATTACACTTGCCACCCATCTGCAATAATCAGGGGATAATCACTGCTGACCAGTGTAGAAGCTACCTGGAGAGGAGAGAACGAATGTCTGGATTTTTAAGGGAACATATTACATGTCAGGCCTAATCATGAAGCAAAAAGGGAAAGTATTTAAATCTAAATCGTCATTAAAATTTTTAGATCAAACAGGGAAATATATAATCCTGCAAATGAAAAATTAGTACCTAAATGGTTCCCAAACCTTCAGTAGACCTAAATGCCTGCACCTAATTACACAGGTACTTAAGTGACCTTTACCAAAAAACAAAGGCTTGCAAGACTGAATTATCTTGTACTCCTGGGTTAAGGAAGAAATAATCTGTATTCTTCTAGCTAGGTACAATTTTTTCTTTTGTTAAACCAGCATTTATGACCGGGTCTACCACCTAAAATAGGATCTATGAGTTTGAGCAAGTCAGCCTCTCAGAGCTTCAGTTTCCCTCATGTGCAAAAAGGAGAATAATGATATCAGATTTACCTACCTCATGAAGTTATAGAAATCAGACAAAATAATACAAAATCCCTGAAAACCCTTTAAGAATTATTCAAATGTAAGATCATCATCACTTTATAGCCTTATTACCTTCCTATTCATAACTACATATTTATTTATAGATTTAAAAGATTTTTTAATATCAAGTGAAAATAGTCATTAGTTGAAAATAGAAATGAAATATTAAAAATTATTATTCAGTTTAAGTGTACCAGAAAAAATATGTAAATAAGTTCACCCAAAGTAAACATTAACTCAAAGCTCAAGAGAAAACAATGATAGATTTAATTTAATCTTAACTTTAAGACAAACTCATCCATCATTCAATATTGCTTACCTTGTAAGAGTGTTGCAATCTGGAGAGATTTCTGAGATGGATGTTCTTTCAGAATGTCTAAGACAGTTCTACCTAAACTATCCTTTATGTTGGCATCAATTCCTGAAAGAAAAAGAAAAACCCATTAAATGTACACCACTGAAGTGTCAGATACTGTCAATATATAACACTCTAATATCAAACATATACAGACCAAGCACTGAAAATGATTTTTTTTTTAAAAATTAAGTCCACACACACACACACACACACACACACACAGAGGATTTCAGTAAGAAAGAAGGTGGGGGTCTACTGCTACTAAATATTAGGAACATTCTTGATAATGAATTAATTTTTCAAGGGCACTGACCCAATCATTAAGACTGGTTTTTATAAATATGGCTAGTTTGGGTTATAGCTAGTTAAATGATACACTACCAAGCTGAACAATATTATTGTTTTAGAATATCAATTCCCAAAGTATAATAATGGTTCTGTGATATATATATTCTGTAAAATATGATAAAAAATTTTAAAAAATAATGTATCATTCTTAAAACACTGGAGTATTCACAAAAGTTGAAAAAGGATGATTATTCTGAACTATTGCTCAAATATTATTTGTCCAGCTACAAAGTCAAATATCTCATATTTACTTATACAAGATTATATTCAATGTAAACAATACTTAATCATCTACCTGGTGAGCACACTTCTTGAAGTTTGTAAACGAAAACATCTTTGGAATTATTTTAATTCTAAAAATACTTAATGTACTAAAGAACTTATTTCAATGTAGCAAATAGCTTTCACTGCCCCAAAAAAGTTTATAAACTTTCCAAACATCTACCTGCAAACAAAGCCAGTTTTCAGATTCTGGCCTCAAACCTTAGTTCATTGTAATAAGGAATTAAGTATTTGCTTAAATTTGTATAGAAATGTGTGACCAGCACTTATGTAGTCAAAATTAAATGTACATAAAATTTTAACTTTGTATATGCAATAGTCTGCCAATGTTTTTCATTTTTTTACAGCGGAAAATAAATACACTAAATGTAGTCCATAACATAAAAGACTCACATCAATTGTTTCCAAGTATGAATCTGTACTCATACTTTTTGATCCTAAAAAATCCAATCTCAGTTTCAATTTTATTTCATTTCATTCAGAATATACATATGAAGACAAATAAGCCTACTTTGTTGTTCCTTCAAAGCATTCCTTCTAAAAGATTCCCTTTAAATCACTGCTGCTTACAAACAATAGCTACTCAGTTGATGAAGTAACAAGGTGAATTTACCTTAAAGATACAGAACTCTAATTTCTGTTTACCATAGTTCCCAAAATAATAACCTAGGGAAATATTATATTCTTTCATAAACCAAGCAATTGTCATAACTTCATAAGGATCAGTTCCTACCTCTTATACAAGGCAGAGAATTCCTTTTCCTTCTGGTAGTGTCTCTAATATACTTCAATGCGATTTAAATGTATACAATTGTAATTTCTAAGAGCTTTTTACTGATACATCCATGGAGTAAAGGAAGGTGCATATTTATACCAATTTTATCTAAACACTGAGCTCAATTCTACATGATATGAATACAAATTTGCAATGTGAAGTAAAGGTAAAAAGGGTGATTATGGAAAAAAAAAAAAGTGCCATTTCCCTTTGTCTACTCCTGAAATAGAAATTTTATTTGGCAGAATAAGCTCCATGGAGAGTCAGGATAGTTACCTGTTTCTAACAGAACTCTCACAACATCCACCTTTCCAAATAAAGCTGCTTCATGAAGTGCACTCCCCTTTTCTGTCTGGAAAAAAAAAAAAAAAAGAAAAGAAAAAGAGAAAAGAGAAAGAAGCACAGTTGCATTAGGAATGCTTACAAGTTAAAAAAAAATGTGATTTTATATATCCGTACATATTCTCTGTAATCTCAGCACTCCCTGACAGAAAGTTACTGCGGAATAAAGAAGAGATTCTAAGAACAAAACCCAAATGCTTGGATTTGTAAAACACCTCTGCTTCTGAATAGCCATTTGACCTTGTTATGTTGATAAGTCACTCACCTTCTCTTAGACTCGATTGTTCTCAAGTGTAAAATAGGCAGTAATGCCTACCTCATGATGTTTTTGTGAGTATCCATTGACTTCACCCAATTCATACATTGCATGCATTTATTAGACACCAATTATATGCCAACAATAGTTGAGGGGTGTTCTGAGGCAGAGAAATATGATGCTGACCCTTGTATATTCACATTCTATTTGAAGAAATAGACGTACAAAGTAATATTTATGATAAATGAAATCTAAACAATTTAATATGGTTTACAAAACCCAGATGATCTTCTCCCTGCTCTCCCCTCCACACTTTCTCCTGTCCACCCCAACTCTCCTCCAGATCTTATACCCTATGCTTCAGGCATACTGAACTTTTTCACATTAGTCTCAGTCGCTAGAGATCTCAGAAGTCCCTCTACCTGGTGGGATCCAACCGGAGCCCTCTAACTCACTATCACCCATCCACTAGTTCTCAATCTTCAGCATGAACTGGAATTCCTTAGAGAGCTTGTCAAAAGCCAACAAGCCAGATTTCTGGGCCCTACTCTCAGTTTCTGATTCAGCAGCCTGGGATAGGCCCAAGACTTGCCATTTCTAACAAATTCCTAGGTGATACTGAGGGTCTAGAAGTACACTTTGAGAAACACTGACCTATATGTCAAATCTCAGCTTGAATATAATTTCATTTAAGAAGATACTGCTAGCCCCGGGTCTAGCACTTTTCCTGTATATTCCACATCAATTTTTTCCTCATCATAGCACTTACACTACATTATGTCATCTGATTGTCTATTTCTCTTAACAAACTATAAGTTTAGTGTAAATGTAGACCACATCTTTTTTTTCATCATTGTATCCCTAATGCCTACTAAAGTACCTTGAAAATGTAGACATTTAAGAATTGTTTTGAGGGCAAAAGGTAAACAAGGAGGAAAAATAGCATGGAAAGGAAGAATTTGTAAGTAATGTAGGGAGATATTGGTTCCTGCCTTGAAAAGGATCAAGGACAATTTCAAAGAAGCAGCTTTCTGAGATCTACAAACACTAGGTGTTTTCTTTCACTTTTTTCTTTTTCTCTCAAGAATTTAACAAATGTCTAGGTCTTCAGTATGTGTGCATATGTGTGTTACATTGAATAGTGTCATTACAGCAATTCTGTCCCCTTGTACTAAAACTTATCTCTACTGTGGGATTCTAATCTCAATTCAAAGTAAAAATAACATAAAATAATATGTAATGTAAAAACTTTGTTAATCAATAAAATTCTATTGTAGAATTAACCCAATCTAAAATGGCTTATAAATGCATTATTAAGGAGACAGAGGATCAATGTGATCTAAATTTATTTTCAAAGAAGGCATGACTGAAATGTATTTGACTTAAATTTCGACTGTCATAATATGTATAGACACTAATAAAAGTGGAAATAAGGGACACCTGGGTGGCGCAGTCGGTTGAGCACTGGACTCTCGGTTTCAGCTCAGGTGGTAATCTCAGGGTTATGAAATCCAGCCCTGCATTGGACTCCACGCTCCATGCAGAGTCTGCTTGAGATTCTCTCTCCCTCTGCCGCTACCCCCCTCACTAGAACAGATGGATAAATCTTAAACAAAATGGAAATAAAAATACTAATTTATAAATATATAGCAGTGTGCAGAAGGGAAAATAAACTGTGGAAACTTATCCAGCTCCTTAAAAAATCATCTCAATATAGGGCACAAATACTTTATTTTTCTTTTATTCTCTGAAAAATATCCCTTGAAATAATCTAATTCTTTTTACTCTCATTGTGTTTTTCAACCAACTTTCTGATTACTAATTTGATTTCCTTCCATTCTTAAAAAATTTTGGACTATATGTTAGAAAAACTCTTCCTGGGATAGCATACCTTAAATATTCTGAAAAACTAAACAATGTTTTAAATACAGTGATGAAAAGGAAAAATAACAGAATTCCTCAGAGCCTGGGGGAGAGAAGTGGGGACAGAAACTATGAACCCAGGGTTTAGTACTGGAACAGAAAACTGTTCCAGGGAATCTGCCAATCCTGGCAGACTAATGCCTGGGCTTTAGCCAGCTACTCAAGGAGAAAGTGGGAGGAGGGAAGGAGACAAAGAAACCCAAGCAAGCTGAGAAGGTAGATGAAGGACACCTGCAAAAATCTAAAATTCCCAGGGGCACCTGGCTGACTCAGTAGGTACAGCATGCAACTCTTGATCTTAGGGTCATGAGTTCTAGCCCTATGATAAAGTGTAGAGATTACTTAAAAAAAAAAAAAAAATCTAAAACTCCCAAAGAACAACATCCTCAGTAGAAAATAATAACAATAAAAACTAAAAAAATAATCAATTAAATAAAAAAATTAAATGTCTTGCACAGAGGGAGAAATTAAAAATGTCTATCTCGATCTTAGTTCTAAGTGGAGTAGAGTAGCAAAAATAACAACTCCCCTAAAAATTTCTAACCACAGTTCTGCCCTCACATGGACTTGGGGCCAAAATTACTAACCACAGTTCTGCCCTCACATGGACTTGGGGCCAAAATTACACACTCTCTGTACTCCCCCAACCCTCCGATCCTGAGCCAAAACTGTAGAAAAAAGTGATCCTGGGTTTGTATAGTACCAAGGCAAATATAAATGTTTAGCAGAAGCAAATCTAAATCCCTGTGAAAAAAATACACTTTAAACTTGGGCCTCTGAGAATTCCAATAGATCAAGCTCTAAGAAACACAAATTTAAAATCAGAAATCACTGAACATGAAAGAAAACAAGCCATGAGAAAGAATTCATAGAAACAAAAAAAGAATAAAACCCATTAAAACTTCACGTCATATGATGATCAGCTACAGAATATACAATACATATATATGATCAGTAAGATGAAAGAACAAAAATAGGATACCAAATGTAACTAAAGAAGAGGAGAATCAAAATTGGCCAGATTTGAAGATGAACTAGACAGCACTTCTAAGAAATGGAAAACATAATGCTTTAAATGGAAGGGTTTAATAACAGATAAGACAGAGCTGGAAAAACAAGTATTGAACTGGATGATGGATTTTTTTTTTTAAGTACATAATGCAGTTTAAAGAAACAAAAGATTGGGCGCCTGGGTGGCTCAGTTGGTTAAGCGACTGCCTTCGGCTCAGGTCGTGATCCTGGAGTCCTGGGATCGAGTCCCACATCGGGCTTCCTGCTCAGCAGGGAGTCTGCTTCTCCCTCTGACCCTGTTCCCTCTCGTGCTTTCTATCTCTCATTCTCTCTCTGAAATAAATAAAATCTTTAAAAAAAAAAAAAAAGAAACAAAAGATTGAAAATGTGAAAGACAGGACAGAATAAGACTCAACATATGTCTAGTCAGAGTTCTAGGAGAGGATGGGGATAAGTAATTCAATGGCTAAAAACTTTCCAGGACTGATGAGATACTAATACTTAATTCTAGGAATACCAAGCAAGATAAGTGAGAAGAATACATTGTGAACATATTACAGTGAAACTACAGAAAACCTAAGATAAAGAGAATATCTTAAAAAGATCACAAGAGAAAAAACTAATGATCTTAAAATAATTAATAATTAGATCAACAGCTGACTTCTCAACAAAAACAATAAAGCCAGAAGAAAGTACCTTCATGTGTCAAAAGAAAATAACACCAATCTAGCATTCTATATCCAGGCAAACTATCCTCTAAGAATGAGAGCAAAATAAAAACATTTTCAGACATTAAGAATTGCTCGTATCAGTGAGGTCATATGATACATGTCTTTCTCTGATTGATTTATTTCCCTCAGCGTAATACCCTCCAGTTCCATCCATGTTTTTGCAAATGGCAAGATCTTATTTCTTTTGATGGCTGCATAATATTCCATTGTGTGTGTGTGTGTGTGTGTGTGTGTACACACACACACCAAACTGAGGGTTGCTGGAGTGGTGGGGGATGGGAGGGAGGGGGTGGCTGGGTGATAGACATTGGGTAGGGTATGTGCTATGGTGAGCACTGTGAATTGTGCAAGACTGTTGAATCACAGACCTGTACCTCTGAAACAAATAATACATTATATGTTAAAAAAAAAAAGAAGAAGAAGAAGAAGATAGCAGGAGGGGAAGAATGAAGGGGGGAAAATCGGAGGGGGAGACAAACCATGAGAGACGATGGACTCTGAAAAACAAACTGAGGGTTCTAGAGGGGAGGGGGGTGGGAGGATGGGTTAGCCTGGTGATGGGTATTAAAGAGGGCATGTTCTGCATGGAGCACTGGGTGTTATACACAAACAATGAATCATGGAACACTACATCAAAAACTAATGCTGTAATGTATGGTGATTAACATAACAAAAAATTTAAAAAAAACATTTTCAGACAGACTAAATAATAAGTGGTTACTACAGATCCTTACTGAAAGAACTCCCATAAGATTTAATTCAGGAAAAAGGACCTGAGGTGCAAGAACTAATAATGTTAAATAAAGAGAATGATTAAGAGAAGGCTAAGTCTAAACACACTATTTAAAAATATAACAATAATGTTTACTTTTTTGTACTAATTTGGTTTCCTAGATACTCTGATACAAAAGAGTGGGCACTTCAGACACTGAAATGGACTATTCTAGGAAATGAAATTATATAATCTTCACCATAAATAAACAATTCTTCTAGAGGAAACAGATGTAGAAGACCTGGGTCCCAGTAGCAGTTTGGCTTTCAGCTGCTATAAAACTTTGGGGAAATCACTTCGTATCTCTGAAAACTCAT